GGGGGAGCTGGACTTTTCCTGGAGACGACGGTGAAACCCAAGAGTGAGTCGGACTTCCCAGAACCAAACAACCCAGCCTGGGACCCCCGCGCCAGCCCTGGGTGCCCGCATCCCCTCTACCAGTCCCCCGCAACGTGGCCGTCCGGGGCTGTGCGTCCGGGTGGGCACCTCTGCGGGGGCAGTGACCGAGGGGACACCGGGGCAGGATTGGGAGGGGGTTTTGGCCCCGCAAAGCTCAGCCTGGTGCATCTCACGGGGCCATGTGCAGGGAGGTCCTGCTCCCTGCCCGGCTGATTCGCGAGATTGGAGCTTTGCAGAGCACCAAGTCGGAGCCGTTTCTTGAACCAAGCCAGGGAGGAGCTGGGGTCAGGGGGAATACCAGGAATCCATCCCAGCAGGAGCTCCCCAGGCCACCAGACAGCGGATAAATCAGCGCAGAGAGCCGGACCCTCAACCCCTGGCTGCCCCGTGAGACTGGCATCTCCGCCACGTCTCCTCCCCTCCCACATGGAGGCCGTGACGCACGGGCAGCCGGCGTGTCTCTCGGCTGCGAAGGAAAAACAAGCCCCGTCAGGCAGGTTCCTCCGCCCCGCAGCGGCGAGGGTTTGCGGGTGCTTGGGGGGTTTGGAGGGTGCGCGGTTACGAGGAGGCGCGCTGCCCCGTCGTTTGCCTGCCCTCGGTGCGTCCAGCCGCTGCGGGGACGCACGGGCAGCTGATACCATCTCCCCGCACGCAGCGAGTATTTCAAAGCCGTCTTGTCGTTCCGGCTTTCCCTTGGGACTCTGGGAACCTCGTGCTCGGACCTCACCAAACCACACTACGGCGCCTGCTCCCCTTTCCCCGCGCTTGGAGACGGTACGGGGTTTGGGTGGCCGGGTGTCGGTAGCGGGGGGACTGCAGGGGTGGTGTCTGTGAGAAGCTGCTGGAAGCTTCCCCCGTGTCCGACAGAGCCGATGCCAGCGGCTCCATGAGGCACCCGCTGCTGGCCAAGGTTACGGTGGTAGCACCTCTGGGATAACATAGTCAAAACGGGGAGACCTTACAGCAGCTGCCAGGG